CCATGGACCAGTCTTTCCGTGGATTAATCTCGCAATTGCTGTCTCATGAGCGATTTCATTGATCATACAGGCTGTGGACTGTGGATCCCTTACCCCTGGGCAAAGCCAAGAAAACTTACATCAAAACCTTCCGCCGCCTTCAATCAGGTCAAATCTTAAACTCTCCAGAACACCACCACCAACCATGTCAACACTGGTCTTAATGCAAATAAGTCCAAGCCCATAAGGTCCAGCCCGTCACGTCCAGATTCCCCTCAGTCCCATCAATATTTCACATTCAGTCGCTACTCGCTGTGCCGACCAGTTGTGACCCGCCAATCTCTCTCACCGGCAGTCGGTGTTTCGGCCAGTTGTGACCTGACAATCTGTCACACCGGCAGTCGGTGTTTCGGCCAGTTGTGACCTGTCAGCCCGGCCGCCCGGCCGCTGTCACCCTGCTGTCCCAGGCTGACATTGGCACTAATTACTGTTTGTTGTGGTTGCTGCCGCCGCCTCTGTTCTGGCTGACACGAGCCGGCCCCGGCGGATGCGACAGGACTGAGGCAGGGGAGGAGGGGCGAGAGAGCAGCGGCTGACCGCCACTGATGCTAAACGGGCTCTGATGAAGCTTGTCGGCGTCGATAATAATGCCAGCCATCAGTAGCGAAGGTGTAAAAATAGCGAACACCTCGACGATGTCAAGCCTGACTCCTCTTTAATCAACTGAACAGGGGCAGAAGGACTGATGAGAGGGGTCAACGATGCGCCGGTGGGAATTTCGGGAAGGGGGCGTCCGTGGCAGTGGGGATGAGGAAGGGGACGGGATGGGGAGGGGAGCGGCGTCCCGTAGTACGCGGCAGCTGTTCAACACGACCCAGAGCGTCCGGCACACACGGCACAAACGGGGGCGCTGAGAGAAGAGAGGGGGACGCACGGATTGTAAACAGAAGTTGGGTGACGAGTGTGGCGTACCCAAACGCACCATGTATCGGTCTAGACATGAGAGAGGCGTGAATCAACACAGCCATGTGGCGGTTGCATAACGTAATGCACCGCTGCGAGCGGGAATTTTATGTTGTTTTTATGAACATCGACAACGGTATGGAAGCCTGGAGTTCCATCTGGATCATCTCACGATCAAATGCAGATGTCTGAGCCCCTAATCCGAGTAGATTCGCCGATTGGCGGCTAACATGTGTAATTATGAGTTGGTGAAGAGAAAAACAAGAGCGATTCGGGACTGAATCACCCGACTCTACGAGGATGTGCGGTAATCGCTCTCGATCAGTCGTCCGTTACAGAAACATCGGGTCAGGGGGATCAACTGCGATCACCGGCCGAGCCTTTAATTCCAGTCCTCCAAAAGAGAGCATCTCAACCGCGCAGGCGAGCCCCTATCAGACCGATAATGATCCGTCTTTTACCGCCCTAACAGCCGGTCTCGATCGATCCATCACAGGGTCCATCCCGGTCCGAGGCCGGGCAAATATCACATACATCACCATGCAGCAGGCGCATCAGTCACTGCCAGTGAGCCAGGGCGCCAGGCGCCACTCACACAACCGCCCCAGTCTTCAACCGGATAGAGCTCAACTTCAGAACGACTTCTTTGACCGTGATGTCACTCATGATTCACCGACGAGCCAACTCTCTGCGACCAGCGTTGACATCCTTAGCACGATCAACCAGGGACACGTAGACACGGGTCGCTTTGTTTTCCATCGGGGACACTGCTCTTCATCCTGCCCCCTGGGGTCGCGGAGACAGGCCCAGCCGGCAGACGGCCCCATTGTGACGTGATAAAAACGCCGGCGACCACCGGGCCAAGCCGCCACCTGCCCGCAACTAATGGTCGTGAGCCAGATCGTCACGGACCGTCAGAGGGCGTCAGACAGCGTTACGGGGCCGTCACGGGGAGCGCCGTTACGTTGCGGACCACCAGAGGCGTTACGAAGGAGTGGAGTCACGCCCACCTAATGAGGCTCGATATTGAGGCGTGAAAAATAACGGTGGCATCTGATCCAGAAAATCGACTGATTTTCGAACATAGAAATAGCGCCTATGCTGTATTTTAAGTCCAACATATAACGCTAAGGTAACGCAGCACATGTGGAATGATTCAGCAAAGCAGACGTTAGTACACAAAGTCTCATCACACCACCACATTCCTCAAATCGCCCAGTTAGTTGAGCGCTGACAGGCTCGTGACATACCACCCCACACCCCGGTTCCCCGTCCCGCCCCATAATCACCCCACGACCAAGCTCCGTTCACCGGTTCAACCGACCACGCCGCGTTGACCACACAGTTGGCAGCGGTCACACCGACCTCCGGGTGATGACGGCGACATTTGGCAGCCCTGCCGACACCATCTGGCAGCCGTCTGAGCGCCGGACATACTGGCAACACTGGCGCCGGCATAGGTAACGCGCTCGGCTCGGCCCGGCGACTGACTGGGGGAGATAGCGCGTGCGGTGATGACGTGACTGACACGCCCGAGATGAGCGGCCAGATACGGACGCTGATGACTTTCTGGACGGGTCGAATAACACTAACAGCGAAAAAAGTTTATTCGAGAGAAAAAAAAATCATTCGGATGAGCTGGTAAAGTGAGGATCATATATGTTGCAAAATTGCAGTAAATCAAGCTGCTGACTGAAAGCATATCATCATGGACAGTTAAAGTTGAAAATTAAGCAAAACTCTCCTTCCTTCCGCTATAATTCAAATCAATTATCTACAGGCAATATAGATGTCTCGATAGGTATTTACATGGGTAGTTAGGCATTTAACCTGGTGATCGCCCACGGGATCTATTTTAAACCAAAAACATAGCTGACCACCGGCGATTCGTCTTGGAGACAGGGACAAATGGGCGGAGAGCTGCCTCGACTCGATAGTCCCATACCTAATCAGTATCAGTCTGGAATTACTCGGAAGGCTTTCCAAGGTTTCATTCCTTCAAAACCTCCGTAACCATCAGACCAAACAACCCATTACCGAGCCAACCACACAGGATAGACCAGACAGCACATCTCCCGGCCGCGGTCGACTGGACCCGGCCGAAAATCGATGTACCGCGCCGCCCAGCCGACCGCCAGGCGCCGGTCATATCCCTGGGCTACGACCCAGTCAGCTGGTCATCGATGACCTCTGGAGGTCACTGAGTCTCGGCCGGGGGCGACAGGGAGACGCTGTATGTAAGAGGGTTCCGTCTAGAGCAAATACCTCTGCCACAGACAAACCCAGCCTCATCTCTAGCCCCAGCTGAGCCGAGCAGCCCCAGCCAGACCAGACCCGGCCAGCCAGTCAACACAGCTCCGGCGGAGACTGCAGCAGCCCTCGCTCCTCCCTCTCCCCGTCCTCCCTGCCTCTCCCCGACTCTCAGCTCATCGATTTTCAATCCTTACGGTGACGGGGCACGCGGCTGGCCCCTGCGGGAGCAGCCAACCCCGCCCAGGTGTTGTTTGATGATAGGGAAGGAGGGAGATGGGAGAAGACCGATAGGCGATGAAGTGATCGGGAGAGAAGTAGTGATGACCACGAAATATATCACCTTCTGTCGAGGGAGTCATTTTGCATGAACACAAATCATAGACTAATGACATGCTGAAAATGAGAAGTTGGTTCCATTTCGGTGAGTCCTGTACACAACGATACTGATACAGGCAGTGTCAATGTCTTGCCGTAATGCCGCATCCTGAGCCAATAAGTATACCAGCTGCAGGAAAAGGTATAAGGACATGATCCCAGTACCTTTACCACCCTATGGATGCCATAGAGGCCAACCCACCTCCATCCCACCCCCAGGCCAGCCGGTCTACCTCGCGCAGATGGGCCTGTGGTGTGGGTGTGGGCCGTTCCACCACCACCACCGCCGCCTGTGTGTGGTGCGCACACAGCGGCACGTGGCTGTTTGTCATGTGATCCGGTTACAGACGCCACAGCCGCCCCGGGCAGTATGACTGCCCGTGCCCCTCCCCGTCACCCAAATATACGCCAGGGAAGACCTATACCCGGAGGAGTGCGCAATGGGTATGGCAGAACTGATGCTGTTATTGGTGAGAGAGGTTATGTACGGTACCTAACGTCATTTTCAGACTGCTGAGTGCGAACTTTTGACTCAATTGGTAATCAAGTTTAAAAGAATGCTATTCACTTGCAACACAAGTTGAAGTAACGGCATTCCAATAAATAAATGGAGGCATGCTTAATCAGTGCAATGACGTTCAGCCCAACAGCTCTCATGACAGTTAATCCCAGAACTCAAAATTCAAAAGCCTCCGACTCCCGAATTCCAAATGAACACCAGCGACGGCCCTGGTGACAGGTTTTCATAGTTCTGTCACAGCTGTAACCATGTCACCACCCGGCTGTCATCTCCGACCGACGCGGCGGCGACAGCGCGGCGTCGGTGGCGACGATTGGCCGTCGATGACGACGACATCGCGTCGGTACCGTCGGCATGCGGGTACAGGTGCTGAGGAGTGGAACCTAATCGCTGTCACGTGCACAGTGTGGGGTCCGAGAGAGGCATATAGCCGGATGGGAAGAGGAATCGAACGCAGGAACCGAATACGGGGCGAATAGGTATGTGCGTGGAAAAACGCAATGGGCCTAGATTATGATGCAGCACAAGCCACGGCGCTTTTATTTTCCGAGTAATAGATAGTAACATTCAGAAGGCAGAAGGAGTCCAAATCGGTAACAGCTCTATTGTTTTGTATCGTCATGAGAGATTGTATGCAATGGCTTCATCGTGTTCAGGAAATGAAGCGAAATGCGTTTGTAAAACGTGAGGCTTTCCTTTTTCAAGAAAAGACATGAGCCTGGCTCATGTAAATATGATAAATCCATTTTTGAAGACTGACTTTACAGGTCGGACAATGATTCCAACTTCCGACACATGTAAAAAAAAATGCAGGGCCAGACACATGGGATGCACTTGATCGTATTATTTAGAACAGCACAGGAAGCGAGCCCCAGCGGAAGAGACCCAGGGATCTCCGTGTGGTACTCACGCCGGCTGGCCGGGGATGCGGTGTGCCTCGCGCGTCAGGTCCATAACCTGGAACCCGGCTGGAACCACAAAGTCGGCCTGCGCGTCCGGACTGACGAGGAAGTTGCCCTCGCCGTCGGCGTCGCTGCCCCGCCAGCCATCGTCGTTTGTGACGAGAGAGGCGGCAGCTGGTCCGGCAGAGACCGCGGCGGCGGCGGCAGCGGCGGTGGTGGAGAATGTGGTGACGGTGATACAGCACAGCACACACAGTGGTGCAGCCGGCACCAGCCGCATCTGTGGGGAAAAGGGGCGTTAGTGTGAGAGCGAAAGGAGCCAGTGGGTGAGCTAAAGCTGAACTAGGAACATGTAGGCGCTAACGGCAATGACAAAGTTTGGGTAGAAAGACGAAAAATGCGAGTGAACATACGTCTATCGACAAGCCTGAAAGGTCGATGAGCAATAGCATGCCGGTCAGGGCAGCTTGACACTGAAGCTGGACAGTTCAGAGGCTTCACGATTGGGGGCCTCGCGGACGAGCTGTTCGCTGCAGCCTGAGCGTAAAAATTGCAGCTGGAGCCCTGGAATCGTTGTTGGAGGCCCGGGGGTGGGGGGAAGGCATTTGGGGCAACCGAATCCCTGCAGCGTTCGAGTCACGTACGCCACTTGCGGTCTTCCTACCTTAAAAAACCTAAACGTTTGCACGAAAGTCTGCCATCGATAGTCCATCGATAGATATGTTCAAGAACATTTTGATTTTTTTGGGGGGGAGAATCCCGCGGCGATCGGCATTCTAAACCACTTTTCTAGATACCTGCGAAAATCGCCAAGTTATTAGTACACAGGTGGTGGGTACAGGAGTGATTTGAAGGTAATGCTCAATTTTCGTCCGCCGTCTTACAAGTTACAACATAGGAACAGGAAGTCGCACCATGCTAGGAAATTCGAATTAGAACGCGCACACCCTCCACTCGTTGGTGCGAACGCGAGCAGCATCTCGGAAAACGTCTATCAAATTTCAGATCGGCATGTTTGGACTCTGCAGGTCTGCTTTGATGCATGTGTCAGTTGACAGTTTGCATAAGAAAATAACACACGACACACAAATACAGAATACCAAAATAAAATGCAACCGATCCGATCCCCAACTGTCCCACGTGATCAACGGATATCATAGGAAAAGCGCGCGCCTGCACTGACCTTGAACCGAATTTCCGTGCTCCGTCTGTCCGGCAACTAGTTCGACACAATTGCCCACAAATTTAAATCACTGAATGTTCCATCCTGCACTTCCACTCTCAATTTCCGCGTCCGATCCACTCTCACACACCCACAACAACAACCAACACCGACGACGGCCGGGCAGCGACTGCTTTGATTTCTGCTGCGCCGGGAGCGCCGCGGCGCGCCACGCGCCACACCGCTGCGCGCCAAACTCCAAGCCCCGCCCACTTTGAACGAGCGCAGCCGGCGGGCGCCGCCTGTCGGGGGATCCCACGCTGAATGACAGGATGAACGCGTGTGAAAATGTGCTCGCGGTTCGCTCAGTCCAGATCGGTCCCAGACCCACGGGCACCATTCAGTGGACGGTGCACACCTGTCCTTTGTGGTAGAGCGATAGAGAGCCGAAAGGACCGATAGAGAAAATTTACTCGTATCGTATTAGCATAAGTGGGATTTGAAACGGTCTTTATTCATCATGTAGGCAATGATCATTGATCGTGGCCCGTGGGTCGTCCGTTTGAGACGGTATAATATGAAAGCGGCATAGGGATAATTTGATGAAACAAAATAAAAAAGAAGTTATCCGTCACCATGGCATCTCGTAATCCGTGCTGGATAGGACAGGGCCCCGGGCATATAGGACTTTAGACTTATAGGATTGAAACATATAGGATTGCATATAGGATTGAAAGGTGATTTGGTGACACCTTTTGTTGGACGTTGGCAGGCGCGCACACAGGATTTTTGAATGGGGGGGGCACGACCTTCGAACTGGGCCCCCCATGCCGAAGGCCCCCCCCCCCCCCCCAAAAAAAAAATACGGCCCACGGGGCTATATTTCGGTTGGTTTGAAGCTTGAGCAATTGGTTTGTCAATGCATGGTAGGTAAAACAATTATTTCGGTACCAGCTTAATTTTCAAAACATATATATTTTTACGCTAGCATGTTTTTTAGTATGTTTTTTTTTCGCGGATCCCGGATCCGCGAGTCACCCGGGGGCCCGGGGTCAGCTCAGGCAAGGATGTATCCTGGACCTTTCGATGAGGGAGGCACGGTGGGTCCAGTCTCACTGGCAGACGGGTCTCTTTAAAACGGTCTTTGCATGAGAAAATGTGGAAAATCGGCAAGCAAAAGTATCATTTATGCCCGAGGAGTGTGCCTAATGTACACTAATGCCTAATTTACATGGTATTTTACGAGCGAGCGAAGCGAGCGAGCTCCTCAGAGTCACCGGTGTGTGGCGCGCTCAGAGGTGCCAGTGAAAGGCCGTCAGATGCGCTGGTGTTGGGTCCTCACAGGCGCCGTTGCGGGGTCTTAGGGCTTAGAGACACTGGTGGGGCCATCATTGGCATGTGTGTGGCCCTGCAAAATGGCCTGCAAGTGGAAAGTGGCCCGTCATAGGCTGGCAAGGACACTCGGAGGCTGGTAAGAGGCCCTCAGAGTCACTGGTACGTGGCCCTCAGAGGCGTCGGTGTGGGGACTCTCAGAGCCGCCGATGTAGGCCCTTAAGATGCGCTGGTGGGGGTCCCTTGGAGGTGGGGCGAGGAGCCTCGCAGTTGCCGTTGTGGGTGCCTTTAGAAACACTGGTGTGGACCGTGTGTCTATCACAGACGGATGTGGAGCCATAGCAGCCAATCCCTCGTTGGCCGTTATTAGGGCCCTGAGCGGCCGGCGAGGTCTCTCAGAAACCGGCATTGGGCCTTTATGAAGATAATTGTGGCTACATAGGAGCCAATAACGTGCCCCCACAAGCCCTGTGGTGTCCTTCCGAGTTGAAGTGCGGCCAGCGCGAACCCTCTGCTACCAACTGGCGCCGCAGGGCCCCTCGGTTTCGAGAGGAACCCTAAACCCGAGAACGGGCACGTACCCCCTCGCTCCCTTGCTATGTCACTGAATCCAAGTGATTAGGGACCCTTTAGGTAATCAGGGGCGTTTCAGATGACCAGGGGTTTTCAATTGATCAGGGGCCCACCAGGTAACCATGGGCCCCTCTGGTAACCAGGCGCCCCTTAAGTAACCAGGGACCCCATCAATAACCAGGGCCCCTCAGTAAACGGGGGCCATTCAGGTAAGTGTAGGAGTCCCGCAGATAACCAGGGCCGGCGAGGTTTCTCAGGTCCGTTTTTTGACAAGGCTCTTATTGACTCAGGTGCGAGCCCTTTGCCATCAGCAGAGGGCCCTTTCAAGCCTTTTGAGGGCCGTTTAACGTCTCTTGAGTTCCCATTGAGGCCTTCTAAGGGCCCTTTGAGCAGTCGAGGGGCCTTTGAGGCCTTTTGAGGGCCTCTTGACGTCAGCTGAGGACCGTTGGACGCCAGCTGAGGATCGTGTTTTTGGGCCTTCTGATGGCCATTAGACGCCAATGGATGACCCTCTGACACCAACTGGGGCCCTCTGACACCAGCTAAGGGCACTTTAAGTTTGACGCTAGCTCAGGGCCCTCTGGCATTAGCTGGGGGGCCCTCTGACGCTAGCTCAAGGCCCTTTGACGCTCTTTAAGGCCTTTTGAGGGCCCTTGAGGTCTTCTAAGGGCCCCTTGAGGCTTTCTAAGGGCCCCTTGAGGCTTTTTGAGGGCCGCTTGACGCCAGCTCAGGACCGTTTGAGACCTTCTGATGGCCATTTGGCACCAGCTGGGGGCCCTCTGTCAACAGCAAAGGACCCTTTAGAGCCTTCGGAGAGCCGTTTGACGCAAGGGCATGGCCCTCTGACGCCAGCTCAGGGACCTTTGACACCCTTTAAGGCCTTCTGACGTCCGTTTGACGTTAGCTGAGGGCCCTTTGAGGCTATCTGAGGGCCCTTTAAGGCCATCTGAGAGTCCTTTGAGGTCATCTGAGGGCTCCTTAAGGCCATCTGAGGGCCCTTTGACACCATCTAAGGGCCCTTTGACACCATCTAAGGGCCCTTTGACACCAGATGAGGGCCCTATGACGCTAACTGAGGGCCCTTCGAGGCCATCTGAGGGCCTTTTGAGACCATCTGAGGGCCCTTTAAGGCCATTTGAGGGCCCTTTGTACACGGTCTTCGGTGGTCTAAGGATTAGTGAGAGGCCCATTTGAGGCGGCCTTCGGCCGCCTCAAATGGGCCCCTTCCTTCGAGTTGGGCCCCCCAACTCGAATGGGGGGGGGGGGCACGGGCCCGTGTGCCCCCCCCTTGTGTGCGCCCTTGGACGTTGGCTTATTCGGTAATTCGCACAGCTCGTTTTCCCTAGGAAAAAGCAAGTTTACCAGTTAGGAAGGGAAATCAAATAAAACAAATATTTCCAATCTTCAATGAAAAACTGAAAGCCTTCCCCCGTTCTCACTCCCCAATAAACGACGACTGTCAGGGAATATTCGTACAGGTGCTGAGATCTATAGTAGACTCACAACGCCGACGCTTGGCTGGACGCTTGGTGCTGACGCTAGGTGGCGACGAGTGTTGTTGATGGTCCATGCAAGATGAATGAAGACGAATCCTGGCCAGTACCACCGCCACCGACCAATTATGGCCATTGAACACAACACATGTCCCTTCTACGGAGTGCCAAATATGCTGAAACTTGAACATGTTATTTGCTGCCACAGTAATTCAAGTTAACACGAACTTAGTCATCTCTAAAGTGTAGGGTTATGAGCTCAGCTTTCATGAATCTTGACTCTTTCGTCCGAGCATCGCTGGCAAGGAAGTAGCCCAGGGGAGTTCCACTGAGGTCACGACGAACTAGTGGAAATGTTTTGAAAGATATGTTCCCGCAGTGTCAAACATGAAACAATATAAGCAAGCATCGTTATCTTCGAATATAGAACGATAAAGGTGATTGAATATAAAACGATTTGTTTAAGAATATAATAAAAAAAAGTAACCGTACTCTCATAATTAAAATCAAAAATCTTAAAAAAGGCCAGATAATCTCGAGGAGCTTTCGGCTTAAGATTTTTGATTTTAATTATAATGAGAGTACGGCTACTTTTTTGATTATATTTTTAAATATGCCTCTTTCTCTCAAAACAGTGCTCACAACAATTCAGAGTAAAACGATTTGTTTTGAATTTAATTGCTAAAATGTGTTGGCCCGGTCCAAACAAAATCGGCAATTTCCTTATCGCAGTGCAGAGCAGTGATATATAACTTACATATTCTAGTGAGCACATAGGCGGCGGAACGGGGTGGGCACCGGGGCACCGTGCCCCCTTTGATTTTGGCATTTTAACCCTCGCCCGTATTGGTGTTTTTCCAGCCGCGAACGTATAAGGGGGGGGGGGTCCGTTGGACCCCCCCCCTTGTCGTTTCGCCCCTGATCGAGCTAGAACTTCGCGGAAAAAACGAGCGTGTTGCCCGTGACGAGAGCAAGCCGATGATACCCAATTTTAAGGTCCTAGGTCATTGGTTGACCTTGCAGGTCAGGTCAATGACCCCAAAGGCGGGAAAATCGGGTCCTGTTAGAACGTCGTAAAGTGTGGCTGCTATGGGGTTTTTCGGGGTGCTGATCACGAATATCATGTTAGTTTTGATCACAGATAATGTCTTCATGTATTTAGGCCAGGTCGGGTCAGGTCAGGTCAGGTCAACCAGTAAGGGTATTCGTAGTAGGTGGCAACCGCCTCTGACAGCTTCGTAACATGTTACGAAGGCACCAAAACTACTTCGTAAATGTTCATATAGTTGCTAAATTCGAATTCAGCTCCAAAAACTGGCCTAGAAACATGTAAAACTCGAAAAAGTGAACCGAGGTCATCAAAGGTCAATGACCTGACCTGACCTTCAGGTGACTTTGACACCCACCCTAATGCATGGGAGCAACATCATATCATATGTTTCAACGCTTGAAACCACGAAAAGACTGCAAACGCGCGGCTAATGCGAGCCGACATATACCGAATCTCGATTCCAGCCAAACATGGTCTCGAAAAGTAGGTCACAGGTCAAAGGTCATTTGGGTCAGGGTCATGACATTTTCAGAGTAGGTGTGAAATTGATGAACGCGAGGGTACTGAAAGTTTCGTCGCGATCGGCCGCTTTTTACGCGAGTTATTCGCGAAAAACCATGGGGGGGTCCGTTCGACCCCCCCTATACGGGCGAGGGTTAACATTAGCCCTGCTGCCCTATGGGCGTTGCATGGAAAGAATGGGACCAAAAGTCGGCAGTGCCCCCCCCCAGTGCCCCCCCCCCCCTCGGCAGTGAAGGTGTTCCGCCGCTACTGAGTGAGCACCCTCAACTTACCCCCTAAAACATCGGGATCGGTTAACCACAAGGCTGTGCGTATTCATACACCCACGAGCTCGGCATGTTAGTACAGTTATGACGGCAAATTTCCCGGAAACGGCAATGTATATCCTCGTGGCAGTGACAGTTCATTAACCCGCGCCCCGCTGGGCGCGGGTTACCATACCATATGCCCCCCCCCCCCCAGCCATACGCGCCCTGCTGGGGGGGGGGGGGCAGATTCTGCCCCCCCCTGTCTAACTTCCGAACCGATGGTCGTAGAAAGACGGGGAAAACGGCAATCGAAAGCTCTCAACAAGGCGGATCTTAAGAGCCCAAATTTTTTTGCTTAAGTAGGTCAGAGGTCAGGTCAAGGTCAGGTCAAGGGTACAAAATGCGAGTTTCTACAGTATCGGCCTTGCACCGTAGTTGCCGAAGAATGGATTGAGACTGATTGCCCAAAACGTGTTCTTAGACTAGCAAGACAATATTCGTTGCACACAATGTCATTCAAAGGTCAAGGTCAAGGTCAGGTCAGGTCAGGTCAGGTCACCAAAAACAAAATATAGAAAAGGGCATGTGCGACACATGTTTTATGGGTCATTTTACTCTTGGAATTCAATAGGCACACTCAATAAGTGATATGGACCACCTCTGGATGAATTTCAGGTCGAGGTCAGGTCAAGGTCAGGTCAAGTGAGGTCAAATTTTGAAGTTGGTTGTTAAGGCCTAAAAAGGTGTCTATCCGATGCAGTTTTTCACGGCGAATCAAATGGTGCTATTTTTGTTTCCGTACAAGGTCTAGAACTTCCAAAAAAAATCATTTTTTAAAAAAATTGTGTGTCATGACGTCATAAAATTTTGAATAACTCCCACATTTTTGAACCGATTCTTCTAAAAATTGGTATGTAGGTGCACATAGACCACTTCTTTGACATATATTCCGGTTTTTTCGATAAACTTAAAATTTTGGATTTTATAAATATTTTCCCAAAAAAGTCAGTTTTTTGGAAAAATTTTGGCCAAAATCCAAAATTTTCAAAAAACCGAGATAGCCATTTGATAGACAAAGTAGAATCACGTATAACCTTTTTTGTTACGTCTTGATTCCTTTAAAAATAAAGATGTTAGCGGCGTTTGAAATTTTGCCGTTTTTGAGGCGAAAATGGCGAACATGACGTCACTAAAACGTCAATTTCTCAAAAATTTTCCGACGGATTTCGCTCAAATTTTCAGGGAACGTGTCAAATTGATGTATGATAAGGTACTGAAAGTTTGACGTCGCTGGCGTAACGCGTTTAGAAGTTATTGGCGAAAAACGGGAGGGGGGCAGATTCTGCCCCCCCCCCCCCCAGCGGGGCGCGGGTTAATAACTCCTCACGAGACATGCTGACGGCCGGGGGACGGACGGCTGGGTGAGTCATGGTGCGGCGCCGAGACAGCCGGACAGGACAGTTGTTATACCTACCTTCTTATCGCCCCGGGCTGTCGACAAGAGCAGCTCGGGTACGCACGAGGTCAGGGCAGGTCAGGTCAAATAAGGAAAAATGAAACAGTGCGCAATGATTGATAACTCCAAGAATGGTGATTGATGGTGGCTTAGTTTCTATATTTTTTTTCCAGCGTTTACCTTCTCTACACTTTTTAACGACATTATGCTTTTACTCGTAGACAATTTGAATAGATAATCTTAGCATAGAGTGAACAGCTTGAGCCACTCAACGTCTAAATAACATCAATTCAAACATCAGTCAACATTATTAGCAGGACAGGCAACCATTTTTGTGGACTGGGTCCAGCTTTGAAGTCAGTATGAACAGCTTAACCTACATAGGTATTGGAGCAGCTGTGTCCCCTCCTGAAAAAAAAACTGACGGAGATCAAACTTGGATCAAACTATGCCCGAACCCGAATCTATCGATTCATTTCATTATTGCTCTCTTATTACGAGCTCTTCGTACCTACAAAAAACTGTCTGGGTCTATCGATAAGTGCCTAATTAATGACTTTCCAATGCAATCATATCATTAATTACGAAAGCAATAATACAACGTCAACATGCATTAATGTGTCACACCAGGCTTTGGTACATTAGTCTGCAGTTTCGGCCCTAACTGAATAATTATATTTAATTATATATGAATCGCCAGTTGGGGCCAATGACCCCGGTCATATTCCCACGTACTCCCTTCCTCATTTACCGCCCCCCTCCCCGTCCCCGCTTCCTGGCTCCGCCCGTGCGCCGCGGGGGCCTCCCCGCTCCCAGACGGTCACGGCTCCCCCGTCGGCAAATTGTACCGGTCGACCACGTGCGTCGTTCACGACGCTCGTCGACATCGATCCCGAACGTCGGTGCGCAGTCATGAGGAGGCCAACCCCACCGGCCGGTACCGGTCGACGTTTACCGCGGCGGCTCGACGATTGTGACCGGCCGCTATCACCGAAACCACCGGGAATAGCCAGTAACACACATCGAGACTGTTTATCGGACCAAATCGGCGGAGTGTAGTTACAGTTCGGCAGTCACTCGGCAGGGAACGGGTGGACAGGGGAGGGCGACCTGGGCCATTAGCAGCAGCGCCGCCTTGCCCTTGCCTAGCAACCGACAGCGACCTGTCGACAACAAACCGGCGACCAGAGGCGCCCTCGACGGCGACGGCGGCGGCGGCGGGACCGGCCGCGTGCGCCATGTCTGCGGGGCATGCCCTGAGGCCGACACGGGTCAGCGGCATGCCCTGAGGCGGTCCCGGGCTGCAGGGGACAGACAGGAACGTGTGCGACACTGCAGCGTGTGGGAGATTCGTGATCGGCGCGCGGGTGGACTTGAGAAGTGAGTAGAAGTGGTGATCTAACGATTTGACCCGCGCACTGACCTGCGTAGCAGCGCGGATATCGCTCGCGATGAACGTCAGTGGCAAACGGAAGCCCTCCTCTTCCTCCAGTAAGAGTGAGGAGGATGACATTCCCCGGATCCGGGAGCCGGAGTCGGGAGCGGCGGCGGCCTCGGACACGGCGGCTCCCGCGGAGCCGGAGGGAGCCGTGGGAGCCAGCGCGGAGCCGTCGCAGCCGGTGCCCCAGCAGCTACCGCCGCCCAGCACAGCGGGTATGTGGCCCGGCGCCCGACAGGGCACCCGCACCAAGACCTCGCACCAGAAGAAGAAGAAAAACGTGGTGTCGGTGGACCAGCCGCCCGAGGTCAAGGACGAGCCGGTCACCGGGTCAGCCAGGCCGCGACAAAAGCAGAGAGGTGAGCTGAGGCAGGACGATGTCCCGACAGACATCTATGATCCCGATAGAGATATGTAACGCTATGCAGATGATGCTTGGCAAGGCTATGGAAGCATGATAGTGCTTCAAAGGTAGACAGTAGATGAAAATTTGTAACAAGCGTTGTATTTTTTCCCCTCGGAAAGTTTTTTTTTCCCGATATTTTTGGTCCGAGCTGACGGGGTGACGGCCGGCTGGCGACGCGAAAGGCGCGCCTGACATCGAGCGGCAGAATTATATAATTTGCAATTATAAAATTATTATGGCTTGAGTGTGTTTCTCTGCTCCAGTATGAGCGAATATTTATGTAGCAGCCACCCATCCACAAAAGCAATCGCTTCCGCGGTTGTACGGGACGTCGCTTTGCCACAGAATCTTCCCTAAACAGCTCGATAGATAACTTACGAGCTCGATAAGTCGTATGGAAAACGAGATCAAGTAGTTATGAAGGGTCGTACACGATGGACGATGGCAAATGACATGTCGTGATCCAATACCCGTTCAGCCTTCACGTGGATATCGTCATTCATGGTAGCGTGGGGATTCAGCGGGTAACTAGTTCCTGGAAAGACGTCCGGACATAATCGATTTCTGATGAGAGCCTCATGTTTTTGTCGTTGGCCTTTCAAAGTACCGTACAAATAGGCAAGGGTGGAGGAAACATACTTCCGAAAAGTAGATAACCGAGTCTTTAGCTTGTGCTGTTCGAGGCATACTTTGTTACGTAGTTTGGCTTGGCCATTTCCTCAAAAGGACATAAAACATGAACGAGAGCAATGGATCAACATCAACGCAAACGAAGGGACCTATACGGAAAACGTTGGTGTTGGCTTCATGGGACTAAATACAATACTGAAACAAACACAAGGCTTCCTTATGAAATTTCGACAAAATAACCCGATGCATTCTTATGATGTAACCGAAAAATGATCGGAAATAGACGTTTCCACGCTTTCCCAGGAACGTAAAATGCTCAGACGTAAATGAAGTTTTAGTTTGCCAGCCTAAGGCAGTCATAGTCCGGTCGATATTATTAATTCCTTATGATGATGCCCAATCTTTCAAGAAAGACCTGCGTGTTTATGAAAAGAAAATTAAAAAGCCGGAAGGGGTAGGCTGACACAACAGGTCGACGCGGGGTGCGGATGGGCAATGGACATTGAGTTAACTGTTGTAGGCTGCAGTTGGCTTTTTCCAAACGTTCATTTGCAATGGAACAATATGCGAAAATGATGTAAATAATAAACCAAATTATTACAAATGCATTCAAATATATTCAAAAAGATACACAAAGCTTTCGGTTCATGGAACCTTGATCACTGTGCAAAAAATGTGTTTTTTTTGCACAGTGATCAAGGTTCCATGAACCGAAAGCTTTGTGTATCTTTTTGAATATATTTGAATGCATTTGTAATAATTTGGTTTATTATTTACATCATCATCCAACCTGTCATGGATACTCAACAAATATGCGAAAAGCTTAAAGTAATCCTGTAAAAACACACGTTTAAAGATTCAGAAAAAAATGTCGTTTTAGTGCAACTGCCGCCGGTGCCCGTATCTGACTCGTGGCCGTCAGTCTATCGGGCCTATTTGTCTTCTCGAGACACCCGCGAGGCAATTTGTACCACTGTCTGGAGGCCCAGTCGCGTGTGGGACGATACCGGACATCGCTAATGAGCTCGACGGCGACGACAGCGACCAAAGCGGCGCACCACCGCCGGCTGCGGCGTGGTGCGGCGCAGTTGTATGGAAATAACACCCGACAGTCGGCCGCGGCGGCAGTGGCGACAGCAATGTAAAGCGTGCTTTAGGACTAATCAATGCGGCACTGTCAAGGTCATGGGCGACGACCGCTGGTGACAGGCAGGTTGAATGCCCTGAGGGTACGTTCGACCCGGGCGTGGGTCATGACCGAAGGCAGTTTCCGACTTGAGTGACAGTTTTCTGTGAGGCAGCCATTTGGCACGATTGTACATAATTATACAGAGCGGCGCCGAATGATAACGACACGCGATATTTGGCGAATCAAAAAACGACTTACGTTATGATAGGTAGGTATATGGGTACCTACATCAGACTCGCGTGGGCTCAGTATTATTGCTCTGCCGAGAGACAAGGGGGCATTTTAGTGAAAAATAATAATTTTGTTGTTGCGTGAGTGACGTTGAAACTAACTTGAATGAAGCGACTTGCTTAGGTATAGGTATACTAAGTGCCAGTGGCCGAGTTGAATAACAGCCATAACAGGACTGGATGAGCCATAGCATGGTGATAAAATATTATTACCTCATCTATTATTATCTCAGCATCTCATTATTACCTACCAGCAAGTACATATAATATTATCCATGGCCATAGTTTGAGAACGGCAAGGTATAGAAGCAGTTGCTCCTGTCGTTAAGAACGGTTCGCTCGCATTGCCTCGGAGCTAAGTGCAGCTAAGATGAGCTGATAAACCTGCATGGATATTATCTCCATTCACAGTAGATTGTAAACGCCAGCTTCGAGTGTTTTGCTTTGAGCTTCGATGAGTAACGGGGTTACCATGCCCATTAATTGAGATGACCGGGCATGGCAATGCCCATGAATTGAGATGTCATTACTACAGTTACATAGTAGATTGCTTGTCCGTCAATGACAGCCCGTTAAATGACTGTGACATTATGAGCAAACTGACGTAAACATAAAACGCCCCATCTATGCTATGGATTTCCCTTAAAACTGCACAGCAGTTCAGTCACGGTCGATTTTCAGCTGTTGCCAGTTGCTATATGGTTTTCTACTCATTTCAATTATGACGGGCGTGTACTGTGCATCATGAATATAAAATGAGTGTACTGGTGCGGCAGGAACGAACTCCTGGAGCTTAGAAGGCTAGCATCAGTCATTTTGCGACGACGGGACACGAGTCAAATAACACTTTCCTTTTTGTATTGTAACCCAGCAGGCCACTTAGACAAATTGCCTTTCTGCAGTCGAAAAGCAAAAGGGTAAAATGGCCAGTTTGGCTGCATTTTATATAAGACAACTAACCAATTCTAATCGATTATGTAATACGCTGTTATAATGGAGGACATGTACGCATTATCCACATAGGCTTTTTGGTGAATGCTGAGATTGTCTCGTTCCACTGCCATTAAACCAAATCCTATATAATTAATTACCTTTACCGAGTCTATAGCATGGCGTGGATCAACGTTAACCTGACCACCGACCTGACCTGTGACCTGGGTTACAGAGCTGTCACGAAACTGTAGCCCTATTTGACCTGACTTCGCCGCTGACCTGACCTGTGACCTGGTCACAGAGTTGTTACGGACCTGTAGCACCGTATCACCTGACCTTGCCGCTGATCTGACCTGACCTTTGACCTGGGTTACAGAGCCACTACCGATGAAGCTGCGGGCGCTGCCCCAGTCGTTCTGGCTCCAGCCGAACGATAACAGCACTTCTCCGAACACGGGGTCGCTCCCACCGCTCGTCACAACGTCCAAGGACGCGCAGGATATCAATGGTAGGCCAGCGTGGTGTTCGCAGCGCAGTGCAGTGGGCTAATTGTCATTACATGCAACAAGAACGTCAAATAATAATGGTGGTTTTGATTTATATCTATGTACCTTGTATCACCTGGCCAACACCTGCGATTTCAAGTCTTCATTCAACCTTGTCGGGGCCAGACTGATCATTCGGATGTCAAATAATCGCTCTCCGACGAGCCAATAAAAGCGCTCCTTCCTATTTGGTCCCACAGACGTCGCCCCGATCACCCCTCCCGACCAGCGGAGCCTGCGGCGCTCTCCCGAGCAGACCCGGAGTGTGAGTGAGGGTAACCCGGACCTGCTCTTCTCGCTGTTTGACGCCGTCAGCCACGCCGGGGAGAAGAAGAGGATCACGCTGTGGAAACGGAACAAGTGAGGACGGGGACAGACTGCGGGGACAGGCTGCGGCTAACAGGGAGTGAACAACGAACAGTCGATGACACCAATATGCATAGACACTTGACTTACTGTAATTGTAAGGTTCAAGCGTGCTTTACCTACTTTTAAAGAGGTTAACTGCCCCATTTACCCTTGGATTCACTACCCATAGAGTTATTGCAGCATGTAGCCGTCAACTTTGCCCATCAATAAAGATTAGCTCGTTAAAATAAATGAGATTTGCTCCACTATTTACTATAGTAATGGTAAGAACCAAACACCAAACAACGTTTTATGCTTGAAAATGAGCTAGCACATACATTTCTGCAGGTCAAAGAAGCCGTCATCGACCGACCTTCCGCATGACGAGGACCCGTACATGAGCAGCTCGGCCACCGAGTCTATACTGCCTCTGCTGCCGGACCGGTCCAGCGGGTCGGGGACGCCCTCCAACAGGGGCACCCAGGTCAGTACCGAGTCTGTACTGCCCCTGTCAGTACCGCGTCTATACCGTCTCTAGCAGTACAGTTATCTGCTGCAGGACTGTCTCCTGCCGGACCGATCCAGCGGGTAGGGCACGATGGATAAAGATAAATGCCCTTATTATATGGGTGGAAGACGATCGGAAAAACTTCTCAAGGTAAGCAATCTAGCCCTGAGCATCAGCGAAAAACTTAAACCCGTCTATTACCGGAGCACCAGCTAACAGCGCCGTCCGTTTTCAGATTCTGTCTGTGGTACAAATCCCCGGCACCACGGACCGTGAGACCATCTGTCTGCCTTCGCTGAGCGTGGAACACAACTACGCCAACATCCTGTCACAGCTGGTGATGAAACTGTGAGCTGAACGTGCAGCAGGACTGTGGGAACAGAGCAGCGCGGCGACTGTGAGCACAGTGGCGCCCTGGGGACCTGGAGCTTGGTGGGAAGGTCCAGGATAGCTGATGACTGCTGTACATGAAGTGGGGATTCAATGGTGTGTGCCTTGCTGAGGTGGGACGGTTCATAAACTTACCTTATCTGCGAAGACTGTCCAGTGGAGACAATATTCCGAATAGTTTGGCTGGCCCAGCTGCATTCGGACACCACTATGCATGGATCGAATTCCTCTTCTTTGTTTGAGAGTTCCTTCTCAGCAGAGCTGTAAATGCTTACCGGGGTCGGAGGCATTACCCCTCTGAAGTGTTTGTACATATATGTTTCACTTACATCACTCGGCCACGCTCTCACACAGAACAAAATTAAAAGAGCATCCGATTTCAGCAACGTTAAGGAAACTTGCAAGCATGAGGCACGATGCTTTTTAAATTGACGAATGAGCGTTGCTACTTGCTTGTACCCAATTCGGTGAGCGCTATTAAAAATTATGAATTTCCCCTCGAGCACAGATACACGGAAATGCTTTGTTTGTGAAACATTGAATGCTAGGAACACAGAAGTACAAATGCTTAGGTCACGTCTCACAAGTTCTTGAAACAGGCGAGCGCTTGTGAGGGCCTTGAAATAGTGTACAGTGCATTATGTAACTCTGTGTTCAGGGATACGCTAGTCACCTACGCCAACGCTAAGTCAGAATAATAGGCCGAAGCGTAAGGTATTAGGAAGGGATAACATGATGTAAATATTCGGTAAAAAGAGACGAGACACATTTAGCATTCGGTATCTTTAGAAAATGTGGCTGTCTAATCTGCCGGACAATTCTTTATTTTACACAAACAGGTCTATAAATAGGTGCTCAGCAACAGCCTTCATGTTTTAGAATGCTAGCATGCAAGCGATTGCCGAAGATTTAAATTGTGTCACACAGATTAGACGAAAGCAGAAGCAGCCCGTAGCATTTAACTGCTTAAGACCTTTTCCACACTTTGCCAATTACATGATATAATTCTTTCGACAATAATATCGTTAATTCAGCAGACAGAACAGCCGGTATTTTATTGCTGTCACGCCATTTATTCCGTCGAGGGAATCATGTCCGTGCCCGGCGGCACAGCATGCTTTCAGGCGCTCACCACTGCTGCCATCTATCGACAAGTTTATAAATAAGAGCTGGTACAATGACGATACGGTGTCCGTTCGTCGGCGCGACACACCGTGTTCAGAGTGTTCCGGTGTATGGCTCACGGATGCACTGCGCACTGTACAGCGATGCATGCACACAATAATGGAGGCTGCAACACAGCTAAACAGGCGCAAAATGTGGCCTTACAGCGCTGCTACATGTACCGTTTGGGTATATTCACCCGCCTTTAAAATCCGTCCAACACCCGTTTAGGCGGTTCTGTGATGTGGGTGCTTTGACAGTCGCTATTCTGTAAGTACATTGTCTGTATATAAAATATGTATATAGCATACTTATCTGTGCTCTCATGTAACGTGGTCTACGAGTGTTCCATGGTCGGTGACTTTTGTTTTGCATCGGCACACCATTCGCCTAAACATACATGGTTTGTGGTTGATGAGCTTCGTACGTAACAGGTCTATGCAATGCACTATGCACATAAAAACATGCCGAAGCACATGTTGGTCGTCTTTGTCCGAAATATTGTGAAGACGTCATCGTTGTATACAGCCACATCGTGTATAATTTGTGTGCTGAGCATTTGCCATATAAATACGACTTTCGCACAGCTGCTTGCGAGTGACGTGTGAACATTGAGTGGATAGAAGACTTCTTGACCATAGAATGGATGCCAGGTCTCCGTTGTATGTGCTCTGTCTTGCATGGGCGGATCCAGCCGGACGTTTTTTTCAGGCGGGGAGGGGGGAAAGCCGAAGGGGCAAATGGCCGAAATGGCCCCTTTCCTTCCATGCACCGCCGTAGGCGTAATGTTAAAACTCGGGTCTTTTTGGGGGAGGGTGGGGGCAAACGGACTTTGAGGGGGGAAGGTATGGCCCTAAATTCCCCCTGGATCCGCCAGTGCTCTCGTGTGCTTCTCGACTTTTTTTAAACGATGGTTTTGTTATATGCTCACGTGCTCTGGCAATATGTTGACGATTGTTCGCTGGTTAGATTATTCTGGCGTGCTGATCCATCGGTGCTAATTATATTCTCCGATCAAAAGTCATCACTGACAGATGACTCAGAACTACTTTATCTGCCCGCAACAGCCGACGCAGTCGTGTTGGAAAAATAAGCACATTTTCATCTCAAGGAAAAATATGCACATTTTCATCATTTTCATCTCTTCAACTTCAATAATGCCCCACGGCTCCCGCTCATTGTAACAGCTGTTGAAACATATAGGTTTTTTCCTGTGGCTGTTGAGCAGCGTTGTCTCTGTGTTGTGCGTGTCACAATCACTTAGCATGGCCCCTCCAAGGCCTGCAGTATGGTGCCGTGCGTCCGTTCTTGCGTGACGATTCTGTCCCAGCAAAACATAGTCGTATTTATTGCAGGTAGCACGACAAACGTGTTTGACACTAGTCCACGGTGCCGTTTTTATCGTTATTTTCTTTCTCTCCATACGAGCTATTCAGCCGCAAATGCTCGAAAGTCAATTATCTAATTCTAGTCGTTGAGAAGTTTTAAATGCAATATTTCGGTAAACAATATAGGTACCCTTATCAATTTGTTTTGTGTGCGCTGATAGGAATATTTTCGTTATATTTGCGATACATAGTTAGGAAATACGTAAGTTGATCATGCTTGATGTAATCAGTGCACGGAACTCACTCAACTCACCAAGTCTGTGAGTTTAGAGCTGAGTTACTCCGAGTAAGACATACACGTCAGACGATAGACTGGTCTAATCACCGATTAGACCAGCTCTGTCCGAGAAAGATTAAACAACTGAGAAGCCCTGCACACGTTTCTGGCGACCCGCTAAAAACACTGTGCTTAACATCCCAGTGCAAGTCAGCTGAATGAAAGAAGCAGAATGTAATACAGTCGCCGAGAAATGTCACTAATGTTCCTATAGACTAGTGCAGTGGAGTGAGTCATATTTGTGATCGCCTCATCGTGTATGAAATGAATGAGTGTTGTTCAGTCGCAATGCACATGCCTCGCTAGACACAGCTAGACACTACAATCGTGAGTTGAATATGGCGCAATACAACTGTGGTGCGAGCCCGCCTTTGCCGCCCAGCCAATCGAAGAAAAGGTTACAGGTCGTTCCGCCGATCGCGGGGGACGGTGCCATAACCGTCACGCGACGTCGGTTAGCCATCGGTTTGGAGGCGGCGTAAACGGTGCTAGTCAGGGTAATACATACAACGCGATAGTGGGAGCTCGGGTTGGCCGGCACAGGTCACACGAAAAGCACTTTTGCGAATGAGCTGCGAGGCAAAATGTCATGGGCTCGGTGGTAATTAATGGTAATTAAGTGTACACGGACTTGATTAATTTTTCCTGTTAAGCGTAACCATTTTTACTAAGCGATGATCTAAATACATGACTTGTAACATCGCTTCCAGCCACACTTACAACACATATGTTCCAGTGTCTCTTACGCCTGATCATATATAATACCACACGGGGCCGGTAAAATGTTTCATTCAGGACCGAGGGATTTGTTGATTTTCCGAACGAGACCGAAGGTCGAGGGCGGAAAATTCAACAAAGCCCGAGGTCCTGAATGAAACATTCCGGCCCAAGCGGAATGTTCCGGCCCAAGCGGAATGTTAAAGGGACCCTCCCACCTTAACATTAGATTTGAGTTGAGATAGCCAAAATGGGGTCCCTGGCTCACAATTACCGGTTTCAGCACTCACAACATCGAGAAATGCCTTAAATCGGAAATATTGAATTTCAAAATTGCAGCAATTTGATTCAGAGGGGCTAATGCATAGGAATACCCCTCTGAATGTGTGACGTCAGCGCAGATATCTAACGATTTTTAAATATTTGACTAAAACGTTTTGTAGCACGCGGTGGTATTTGCTGCTTTGCGCGCAACAAATGCCGCACTTTCAAATAAAGTCGCTAGGAACAGCGGAGATCCCAAAAAGTAAGCAAAAGTAAAAGCCTAATATCTTGAAAACCGGTGAATATTTTTCGATGAAATTTGGTAGATATTCGTTTTTGCTCTTTCTGAACCGAGCGACATCACTTTCATGCCAATTCATTAACTTTTTTGAAGGTGGGAGGGTCCCTTTAATACTATATATGGCCTTGGGCCCAAGTGTGGTATGATTTTTACCGTATGTCGGTCACAGACATGGGGGATAGACCACATTTTCCACCCTACCTGGGATTTGAGCTAGACTTTGGCGACGAAAATGAAGACGAAAAAATTAAAAGTTTTATCGAATCGAGCCGCAACAAGGAGACGTCAAGAAAGATAGAGTTTTGGCTATCACGCCTCCAGGAACACGGAAGAGCAATCGGCATCAATGATTACCAGCCTCAACAAGTTTCGCTGAAACTCGCTTCTCTGCTCATTTCTGGACGACGCAAAGAAAATGGACGGCCAAAATTGCGAAACTAATACGCTTCATTCCTTCTTCTCATTGATTGGGCGATACATGAAGGACAACAAAATCGGAGATCTGGACACTGATCAAGAATTTCGGCATACGGTAGGCCTACTTGAGTGCTGTATGACATATACATACACCTTTGGCGTTATCAATACATCAATACATGTCTTAGAATGCTTTTCATAGAAAACAGAACGAATGGATTATGGATCTTTGATTGAATGAATGTTCCGAAAGGCGAATGGGATTGATAGGGCCTTGGATGAAATACAGCTGTATTCGTAATATTTTACAGTTGTGCGTTGCACAAATTTAAGTCACTTTTTAATATGCAAAACTATTTGCGCGTGTTTTGGTAAAAGGTTTTTGCCCACGGGCAAAAATGTTTTACCGGATCAAATAACACGCTCGCGCTTATTGTAAAGGGATGTCTCGGCATACGGTAAATGATCATACCACTCTCACTCTTGTGACCGCAAACACACCGAACTGTACATACCACACGCATATTTCAGTACGAAAGCAGACACCGTGGGAATAAAGCACACATTCTCTTCACTCACACAGCCAATCTAACACAGAACTTTCGCAGAACACCGAAAAAAAGCCAAGGGATAAGAAGAGTAAATGTTAGTGATAGCCGGCAATGTACAATCTGTAACAGAAAACCTCTACGCAGTCGGGTTCCATCACGTTTTCTCGTTACCAATGTGAGACAAACTTTCAAGCACGTTATCATTATTATACCAGTATCGGCTAGGTTCTTCCCAGTCCTTTTGTGCCGACACTGTGCATGCGTCTCACTTCTCACAAACCACACAGTGTTAACTCATGTTACTTGCCACACATATTGCGCTCCGTCACGTATTATTACGGTTTGTCACGTCAAAACATTGCGTCAGAATTCTACGAACCTACGCCGCCGCATCAACACAACAGTTATCCCCTGAAATAAAACACTGTCCGGACAGTCCGAAGCTGCTGTCTTCGCGTTCGTTCTTCCATAAGACAGCACGAGCACAGCATGACGTCATTTTCTCGACATCTAATGATACTGGTCATTGTGGTGAGCATCAGTTCAAACGGTGCAACAAACAGGGCGGCAAGTGCCACCACTTCTTTCCGCACTTCTCTATACAGTACACACCTATCACAGAGTCCAAAACACACAGAGGTCCAATATGCACGAACGCACGTGGCTGCGGGACATCACCGGACCTACTGAACGGATGCCCGCTCCATGCCACACCTCAAAGTCCGCGTCCGGGTCGCACAACGGCGATTGCACAAAAATCAAACGTAAAAAGCGATGCTCTGCCACTACCCTGCACATATGGTATCACATGATGGGGAGGTGAGCCAGCACTGAAGGTGGTGTGCACTCACACAATCAATACAACTCCAATCGACCGAGTCCAAACGCTGTTGGTGCTGGCAGTGCCGCGGCCGACGCGCCTGCTATCTGGCGGCGCGCGGCTCAGTCACAGTGCAGCTTGGGCCCGCTGCGCGGCGCTGCCAGCTGGCGGCCAACACTGCCAATCGTAATGCCGGCGGAAAAGGCGACGAAAGGGAACCACGCTTTGAGGCGGGTCAGCTCCAGAGAAGACTCGCTGTGACTGAAACAGAGGATAGGTTTGTAGAAATAGAGCAAAAGGCAAAGTGAAAAATGTAATTGCGAAAAATCACAAGCCACGACCGTCGTGGCACGACCATGGCAACTGACATCGAATGCAACTGTAGTCTGCAATCGCAAGCGTTTCCATTCAACAGAGCGTTTAGTACAACTTACCCGCAGCACTAGGAAGTCGTAAGTTCTGAGCCACTCAGCCCGACAAGCGTGCTGCTCATTAGCAAATGCAACCGACCTACACATTACCATATCCTGCACACTTCCAGCTTCCTCATACATCTTAGCCATAATTACCCAGCTGTAGTCGTGCTCAACAGCTCATTATGTCACTATCAGCAAGCTAAACACGTCCCGACCATAAGCTATTCAGGACAATCATGCATAATCTGAGCATCTACCGAAACAATTAAAACACCTTTCACGAAAATGCAGCACTTTTGATGACGTGATCTTTATATAAAACCACATGCTTCAGTAATATGAGCCGTTTTTAAAAATTGCATAGCATGAAGGAAGCACTTTACTCACATCTAACTCGCTCCAGTAGCTCCGACGAACACACACTATAAATGCTATCCCGGAAAAGTACACCAACCCCAACCATTTGACCCACCTGAAGACCAGCCGCAGCACCAGATAATAGGCGACCACGTGCGCCACAGCGGCCGCCAGCGAGGCGATCACAAAGCCGCACGTGGTGCGGTCGAACGTCCACCAGAGCGCCAGGCTGAGCAGCGCCAGCGTCCACGCCAGCTCGGCGTCCGTGGCAAAGTGGAACCGGCTGTTGGCGTGGTTGATGCCGACGAAGAGGGCCAGACAGCGCGTGACAGAGGCCCAGTCGCGGCCCGACGCCGGCTGGGAGTTGAGCCACCGGTCGAACAGCGGGTACGCCAGACCGACGATAACTGAAGGGAGGGAGACGTGGAGTTACAATGAGCACGTGGGGGGGGGGGGGTCTGGTAGTGAGGGTAGAATTACTTGTTACGGTGTATTGGGTGTATTGGCGAGTCGATTATATCAAGATTATATGGTTGTTATGCGCCCAAAGCGACGTAACGCTAGGGGTTAGGTGGTGATCGGTAAATGGTAAACGGCGAAAGGTGAGTCTGTCAAACGTAGTGATAAGTGAACGCTTAACATAATACAGCAATTAGCCCTAATAAGTTATCTGACTTGCCTGAGCACACGGCAATAAGTGAAATTAAATATTTTTGGGCAGCATAAATAAAGCTTATTGACTTAAAATGGACACGATTCTCCAAGAAATCAGTAATCCAAAAACCGAATAATTCATCGTTATAATGCGAATTGTGACAGACGGAGACGACATATGATATCATTGTCGGCTTCGTTGAGCGGATGTGCCACCCGGGAGCGCCTGACCAACGGAAACAGATCACAGGAAGCTGATCAGTCCACTTCTGCTTACTCAACATAATAAAACAACCAACGAAATTGAAACTGTTCATGAATGAAACGAAACCACCACTAGCAAGCCGGCCCCACGACACACCCACCGTAGTTCGAGCAGGGATGCCGATAGGCGACATCTCATTGAGCCACTCAGGCGTTATCAGGGCCTCGAGATGTAGGTACGCAGCGGGAGGGTGTGCAACAGACTGGTGCGTGTGCACCAGACCTTCGGTCATCTCAGTGCACGGGCACGGCAGAGTGGGTCTGGGGACACTTGGAGCATGACACGAGCGCTGTGATCATGATAGAAGGTGAAGCCAAGTGCGTAGTATGAGGCGACATTCTAGATAGGCGCGGATTGACGTTCAAAAGAGAACAAGACCTAAAATAGACTGGCGACCAGTGACTGACTACAGAGCAAATCACGATCTGATTTGTCGCTGTTATCACTGGAGCAATAAGGAAATACATAACGCTCTGAGTTCATGCACCGATAAGCCCGCGGCGCCAGTCATGGGGTCAACAACCCGTCTGAGGTTCATGGATATGTGATAACAACGGCACTTGAAGGACTAGTCAACACAGAGACGATTAATCACGACCATCTACATAATGTTATAATGTTTAGCAGGGTTTACGATGTTAAATAAGACGCCTAGAAGACATTACCGTAATAAGGAAACCCGGCTGCAGCCTGCAATCACATCCTGATTCGGATGTGAGCCACGTCCTAGTTCGTAAAGACATATCTATCCGTAAGCCACGTACGAAATTTCGTAAGCGACGTCAAAGTCTCTAAACAAAATCCTCATTGTAAACGACATCCAAATGCGTGAAAGACGTTACAAGGCGTGAAAGACGTGCCACTTCGTAAGCCACACTCCGAGTCGTACCACCGTGCAAGCCGCTACAGACATGAGGTTGGCGTCAGCAGATAAATAAAACCCACTCCCAAACACTTCCAGGCATCTCAGCTAGCGGAAATCCCTATACAGTATAGTACGCTACAGTATCTACCTTGACCAGCTCTCGCGGAGAGAGGGGACGTGGCCAGGTCACGGGGAACACTTGGCAGAGGACGGGGGTGAGCGGGAACACCGCGGCCCGTATCAGCGATTCAACACATTAGTGGCGAGGCACGACTGCCGGAGTGGCCAGTATGTAAATACTGGTCAGACAGAGGACGCCTCATGGGACTACGGGGTCGGTGATTGGGTAAACCGTGTGGACGAAAACACTCAACGAGGTTGACGGCGGTGAGTAAATACATATACCGTAGGTATCACTTTACAGTAAACATGAATGCCGAATAGTATTAGCAAGCAAAGACACATAGATAACTAGAAAACCAGATATATCAGCAGAAGAAATAAACACAAGTGAAAGAGGAAGAACGAACTACACCAATGAGTTTGGCCCAATGTCAGTTCGATAATACCGCGTAACACAGCTGAACCAACAATCGAGCGCAGACTCGTCTGCGTCGGACATGTTTCAATTGTGCTCTCCGGATAAATTTGTAAATCATTTTCGGAGCTAGATTACCAAGTCTGAATCACAAACTTGTTGGGGTCTCGAAACACTTCATCTGCTAACAAACAGCGCAAAAACCGCAAGAGGCTTTGTGATACAATTTCCTGCATAATTTTGCAAACTTCACAGAAACATTACCCTGTAATCCATGAGGGTGCCAGAAAAGGGTACTTGAACTAAATCAAAATAAGAACTTTAACCTCAATAAATTTTTCCTGTCACACAATATATCCCAACCGCAAAGCTATCATTCAAAAGCCAAGGGTCATACCCCACCCCAATCAGTCCCGGGCTCACGTACTGGCGGCGACGCCGGCGAGCGGTGCGACCAGCAGACTCCAGCGGAGGAGCGCCGCCCAGTCGAGCGGCTCCTCGCGGGCGTGCCAGGAGGCGCGCATCAGCCGCAGCACAGCCGTGGCCACACAGCCCCACGAGAAGAGCACCGAACCGCGCCACAGGTCCGACATGGCCGCTGGAACACGGACATCTGAGGTCAGACAGGGTGACTGGAATAGGAGTCCTACAGATAGGATATAATCATATCAACTTAAACATGGGTAGTAAGAGCATCAGAAATGGCAATTGAAATAGGAGTTATGGCTCACACAGGTCGGACATAACAGGACAGCTGGAACAGTCATATCCCGCGCCCCGCTGGGCTATTCAGCCATACGCGCCCTGCTGGGGGGGGGGGGGGGGGGGGCAGATTCTGCCCCCCCCTGTCTAACTTCCGAACCGATGGTCGTAGAAAGACGGGGAAAACGGCAATCGAAAGCTCTCAACAAGGCGGATCTTAAGAGCCCAATTTTTTTGCTTAAGTAGGTCAGAGGTCAGGTCAAGGTCAGGTCAAGGGTAAAAATGCAAGTTTCTACAGTATCGGCCTTGCACCGTAGTTGCCGAAGAATGGACTGAGACTGATTGCCCAAAACGTGTTCTTAGACTACCAAGACAATATTCGTTGCACACAATGTCATTCAAAGGTCAAGGTCAAGGTCAGGTCAGGTCAGGTCAGGTCACCAAAAACAAAATATAGAAAAGGGCATGTGCGACACATGTTTTATGGGTCATTTTACTCATGGAATTCAATAGGCACACTCAATAAGTGATATGGACCACCTCTGGATGAGTTTCAGGTCGAGGTCAGGTCAAGGTCAGGTCAAGTGAGGTCAAATTTTGAAGTTGGTTGTTAAGGCCTAAAAAGGTGTCTATCCGATGCAGTTTTTCACGGCGAATCGAATGGTGCTATTTTTGTTTCCATACGAGGTCTAGAACTTCCAAAAAAATCATTTTTCAAAAAATTTGTGTGTCGTGACGTCATACAATTTTGAATAACTCCCACATTTTTGAACCGATTCTTCTAAAAATTGGTATGTAGGTGCACATAGACCACTTATTTGACATATATTCCGGTTTTTTTCGATAAACTCAAAATTTTGGATTTTATCAATATTTTCCCAAAAAAGTCAGTTTTTTGGAAAAATTTTGGCCAAAATCCAAAATTTTCAAAAAACCGAGATAGCCATTTGATAGACAACGTAGAATCACGTATAACCTTTTTTGTTACGTCTTGATTCCTTTAAAAATGAAGATGTTAGCGGCGTTTGAAATTTTGCCGTTTTTGAGGCGAAAATGGCGAACATGACGTCACTAAAACGTCAATTTCTCAAAAAAATTCCGACGGATTTCGCTCAAATTTTCAGGGAACGTGTCAAATTGATGTATGATAAGGTACTGAAAGTTTGACGCCGCTGGCGTAACGCGTTTAGAAGTTATTGGCGAAAAACGGGAGGGGGGGGGGCAGATTCTGCCCCCCCCCCCAGCGGGGCGCGGGATATAAGATCAGAGGGAGCAGCTGCAGCTAAAACAGAGGTCACACAGAACCACACAAACAAGACTTCTGAAATACTGCTAAAAAAGACATAGTATTGTCATATGCACATTGCACATGCAAAGCAGTCCAAATGGCAGCAGCACACAGGGTCAGAAACACAGTCTAAAAGAGATCACACAGGGCCCAGGGGTCAAATGACTTGACTTCTGAAGTTCTGAAACAGGGTAGATGTCACAGAGTGGTTAGGAGAGGTCACATAGGGTTAAATTACAAATATGACCAGTCAAGCTTCCAAGCAGGGCATATGCATGAAATTTCACAATTTAAATACTTAAGCATACTGACATGCATAAAAATAGGTAAGATCTGGTACCACATGTGTATGATTCTTTTAGTAAGTCACATATTTCAGTTCATTTACTTTTTTTAGGCTTGAGCCTGGATTCTGAAACACAGCTTTTATGCATGCTTATCACAGTTCCACTCCTCCCATTGGAACAAATGACACATTTATTACTACCAACTGGAGGTGCTCCAGGCTGCAATTTGGGAGGAAAACATGTGCCATGTATTTCTTTGCCGGGAGGACTCAGACTGGGGAGTGAGAAGCAATTTGCACAAGTGCAGTGAAAGCTGTCGTGTGGATGTTCCAGTAGAGTAGCCGGACCGCAACACATTTCCTAAGCAGTTTAGAGACAGTGAGCAAGGAGCAGTTGCCTGACTAAGCCCAGACAATTTTGTAGGATCTTTTAGGTTAGTGTAGGTTAGAACTTTAGAGGGTTCTATCTCGAGAACGGTCAATATTTCCACTCTAGAGATCATGATTTTCGGAATCAGCGTGCCGAGAAGGCTCTGTGAGCCAATTTTCAGCCAAATCGGGATGGCCCGGTCATGGGTGGTAAGAACTTTAGAGGGTTCTATCTCGAGAACAGTGAATATTTCCACCCTAGAGACCATGATTTTCGGAATCAGCGTGCTGAGAAGGCTCTGTGAGCCAATTTTCAGCCAAATCGGGATGGCCCGGTCATGGGTGGTAAGAACTTTATAGGGTTCTATCTCGAGAACGGTCAATATTTCCACCCTAGAGACCATGATTTTCGGAATCAGCGTGCTGAGAAGGCTCTGTGAGCCAAATTTCAGCTAAATCGGGATGGCCCGTTTCTCGCTGCTGGACTCGCTGCGAGGGTTCTATCTCGAGAACGGTCAATATTTCCACCCTAGAGACCATGATTGTCGGAATCAGCGTGCTGAGAAGGCTCCGTGAGCCAAATTTCAGCTAAATCGGGATGGCCCGTTTCTCGCTGCTGGACTCGCTGCTCGCTGCTCGCTGCTAGTTTGACAGACGTCAATATATGATGGCCAACAAAGGATTCCAGGACAATTCTTCTTATGGCATTTTTTCGTATCGCAATTCTTCGTCTGCAAATCTTCGTCAGGGCATTTATTCGTATCGCATTACTTTGTCTCGCATCAGGGTATATGAAAATCGGCTCGCATTTCTTCTTCAACGCAAATATATGCAAGAGTAAGCATTGATGGACAAATAAATGCACCGACGAAGATTCGTAGACGAAGAAATGCGGACGAAGAAATGTCATGCGAGGATTCGTTCGGGTACCATGACATTTATGTGATTTCAAATTCAAGGTTCACAGCTGATCTGCTAAATCAAGCCAAGAATCCAAACTATCAAAAAAAAACTATAAATATTTGTTTGTCTGTCACAGAGGTCTCAAGCAATATAAGGTTGACATATGTTGAATCAAAAATCTACTGCCACAACTCACATCTCCTGCCTTAGTTTATCATTGTTGTTTTAACTTGCTTTCAAGAGAAACAGAAGCCAGTATCTGATATCACTTCAGATGATTGTTTCAAGATCTGAGTTCAAATGGAATTAAAAGCAAGATCAAGATGAAACAGGGATTATTGCTGTTAAAGTAGTTTGGCCATGATACAATAGGCACATAAATCATTAGCCAAATCAAATACTGGTTGGTTTGTCAAGCTGTTTGTTGTCTGTCGTCTGTCGAGCTGCTATGAACACTGAACGCTCTCACTCTTACTTTAAAGAGAGTAGTTTAAGTTGAATGGTAGTGAGCTGTAATTAGACAAAGCAGCTATTCAGTGCTCACATCAAGCCAGGCTAGGAAATGGCATCAACTGTAGTGGGAGGAAGCAGGTTCGGCAGGCCTATGTTGTAAACTTCTGTTGTGTCTTGTGTTTGATCAACTGATGTTTTCTGCTCTGTTTTGTGCAGTGATAGTAGCAGGTAACTGCATGCTTGTCAAATTATGTGAATAAACGAATTCATAACATTGCATTTTTCTCTCCATGTAAGGAACAAGTAAGATGTTGTAGAAAATGTAATAGAGGGCTGCATTGCTGATTTCATGCACTTTATCAGAGCTTTATTTAGAATTGCTTTCCTGAAAGCTACACACAGGCCACAGCACTGAAATTCACAATGTCATAGCTTTTGGCAGAAAAAAAGAAAAGACTTGCCTAGGTAAAATTGGCTGAAAGTATGGCAGAGCAGGTCTTGATGCGTATGCCCATCCGTGTGCTTGCCGAAGCCGAACTGACTGCAACACATTAACTCTGACCCACCATGGTGGCTGGCATATCCTGAACTTTCACCACTCTAAACAAGACAACTTTCAGCCCTCAGCATTGTATTAAAACACTGTACATGGCAGTTGACACTCAAAATTTGTTTCAGTGCCATCCACGGACAACATCAGTCGCCATTCACCAGGCCAGTAAAAACAGAATACCTAGATAATAGCTTCAAACCCATGTAGTCAGAGATACTAGGTCTGCACCTCAAAACAAAATCCAGGTGACATTCACCACGCCAGTAAAAAAACAGGTAGGTACTTAGGTAACGTAACAGCTTCAAATCTGGTAACATGTTGGTCGGACTTAACACTACCTTATGTACATGGAATAATATGATACCAAACAATAGTGCAACCATTCTGGACAACAAAAGTGTATGATAAAATTAATTTAGAATACTTTGGCAGCATGATTTACGAGCACAGGCAGGTGTTACCTACCAGCCTTCTCAATGCTCGTAAAACCAACATTGTAGTTTTGATTTTACCTTACATGATAACACACTTGGCTGCAATGGCACATTTAATTTAACACTGTGAAAAGACCAGTTATAACCACTTCACAAGCACAATTGCACCTCATGCCGACATCCTTTTCCAAAGACAGTCAGCAGCGTCTTTCGTCAAAACTGGAAGATCAATCCCCTTTCAACTGTTAACATCAAAAATATTTCTTCATGGTGTGATCTCCTATGGAAACCTTGCGGGAAAAGAATTAATGTCAATTGTCAGCTCTTCAAATTTCTTTGGACTTAAACTTGCAGTACCATATCCAGTTTGCTTTGATATTTTGTTTTTCATTCCATGTTGAAGTTGAACACCAAGCTCCAGGTCCAGATATAGCAGGCAGCTTGATCATCTTCGGCCTTGGTATAATATCAGTCCAAGTTCCAGTGGTGGGTATCTTCTAATATTCAAATTAAAATGAAAAGCAATAGGCTTTCTCAGCGCCGACGACGGATTTCACGTTGATAACAAAGGGAGCTCAAGGTCAGCAAAACTCGGGTTCAAGGAATGGCGGGCGTTGAAATGACTGCTGACGTCATCAACAAACCGCTAATGGTTAAGAGATAGGGACTAAGCTGGTCCCACCCTGCAAGTAAAGGGAAGAAATTTCTTGAACACCATAAAGCTGCGGGGGTTGCGACCAGGATAAATGGTGGTTTCTGAGCCTGGCCGCAAACTTGGCTATCTCAACTCAAAACTAATGTTAAGGTGGGATGGTCCCTTTAACCCGGCGGCCGCTGGGCCTCCGCGCCACCCGCCGGCCGCTGGGGGGGGGGGGGGCATATAGTTGCCCCCCCCCCTTTACTTCCGCGACGATATCGTCGCAACGCGAAGGGATAGAGAAGCGAAACTTTGCACACATCTTTCTGAATACCTAGCGGAGGTTGTGTCTGAATTTGGTGTCGATCCCATTTGAAATGACGTCACAGTGACGTCATAAGTCAAATTATAGATTTGCGACTCTCAGTTTCCTCACGATACATTCGGGGGAGGTTTGGTCAATCGTTGTCATTTTTAGCACGTGCTATTTTTGTCACACGTGCTAAAAATGACAACGATTCTGCTATTTTTGACAACGATGAGGCCGATTTCACTCCTCAGCGAGGAAATCAAGATTTTGGAAAGATAAACACTGATTTTGGAAAAGAAGTGCTGCCACCTGGTGCAAGACGAAGAAGCCAGCTATAATATGCCCGTTATTTGTATGGTAGTTTGTTTTGTGGCCTGAAGTTGGAACTTAAAATTGAAGCATCCGAAAATGATCGATATTGATCGAAAACATGATGTTGATGAAAAAAATAATATTTTAAGTTGAGAGAGGAGGCCATTTTATCCAGATGCAGTAGTTTACTTCTTGAAATTATTTTTGCTAATGACGGCTGCTAATTATCCCTCATTACATGGCAGTCGTCGTAAGCAAAAATAATTTCAAGAAGTAAACCACCGCATCTGGATAAAATGGCCTCCTCTCTCAACTTAATATATTATTTTTTTCATCAACATCATGATTTCGATCAATATCGATCATTTTCGGATGCTTCAATTTAAAGTTCCAACTTAAGGCCACAAAAAAGGGTATACTTCAACGTTGGACTACCATACAAACAACGGCCATGCTGGTTTCTTCTTCTTGCACCAGGTGGCAGCACTTCTTTTCCAAAATCAGTGCTTGTATTTCCAAAATCGTGATTTCCTCGCTGAGGAGTGAAATCGGCTTCATCGTTGCTAAAAATAGCTGATAGCGTTGTCATTTTTAGCACATGGTTGCCAAAAATGGCATGTGCTGAAAATGACAACGATTGACCAAACCTCCCCCGACTGATATGGGACCGAATATAAAGGGCCAATTATTGGTTAGGAACTAGATGGAAGTGTACTTAGATGTTTTAGGATGACAGCAGATGCTGTCTAGTTCATTTACAGTTGAGTTTCATGCTCAGCGTCATCAGAAACGGTCCATATCGGAAAACGACAAAACTTTATGACGTCACTGTGACGTCATCTTAGGTGCTACAACCACCAAAATTTCCTCAAACATTGCCTAGGTATTCATTTGAAGCTATGCCAAGTTTCACGTTCGTAGCTCATCGCGTTTCGGAGATATTCCACAAAACGTAAAGGGGGGGGCAACTTTATGCCCCCCCCCCCCAGCGGCTCGTGGGTTAATGTGATTGTTACGTAAGCTCGAAAGGGACTATGATTAAGGATTGTTTCTGAATTCTGAATTTCTGGAGTCACAAAATTAAAACACATGGTAACATAAATGGGTAGTACAGAAATATGAAAATAACCTAGCTTATTTACCTTTTAGTCGGGACATATATTTATATACACTGTGGTCGGGACAATAAATCCTATTTCTAAACACAGTGACGGTCCTTGAAACTCAAAATGCAGAAAACAGAACTGGCTCTTGTGTCGATTTCTAGCTAACCAGTGCCTGATCAAAATAACGCCGATAATTGGTACAGTACGTAAGATCTATCCCATTTCGCCTATGCACAACACAAACGATCCACACACAACCACAACAAACGGGACATGCCTAAGAGCTGGACTTTTTGCACGCGTTCCCCGCCAGGGGGCGCCACTGAGGAAGCACCCTCTGACGTCACGATAAAACTGCGCGCACTGTGCGCACGGTTCTGTAAGCAAGTAATATAGTGGTGGTTTCATGGTGGAATTTGGAATAAGTATTTTGACGTTGTAAAATTTCAAGCCGTTTTTGTGAAATTAATTAGCAAATGCATTTCAAAAGTATTTATTTAAAGTGTGAAATGAGAATAATTAGAAGAACATGGATATTTTTGTTCCAATAGCTTATTATGTGAGACATGATCGGTACTTACGGGTACTTCTAAGAAGTAGTGAAGAAGTACCAAACAGCCTGCTCGGCTACGATCGTCAGCTGTCCTTTGGAGCTGGACTTCAACGCTGTAAAACAAAATATGTGCTGAATTAATTTTTAGTTTCACCAAAATATAAGCAATTTATCATTTCTTTTTCACTTTTGTAATTATTGTTGAGTGAAGAGACATGTTGCTAGCTCTGACAATATAAATTATTAATTAAAAAACCGAAATGCGACGGTAAGTATCTGCTACTAAATTATCACTGTAACCAAATACATGGAGAATGTTGCTACCATTGCTTATAAAACGTGCTTATCAATACACAAATGTTTTATTTCAGACAAGAAGGATTTATTTGCCTGAAGTCTTGCGTCATGTGCTACTGCTTTGATTCCAAAGACGCTCTCCGGGTCGGGGTAATTTAGTTCTTCATCGATCGATGAGATTTTGATTCCATTGATATCCAAATTGATAAGCTCGGCACCATGGAGTAAGGGCGTCCCCACAGGGGTGACGCAGGAAATATGAATGGCGCTTACACCGACAGTAGTTTCCCACAGCCGGCAATGGGAATCTCCTGTCGGTGTAAACGCCACTATAGTCCCATCCAACTCAAACACTGGGGAATATCCCCGCACTTTTGAGGACGGAAATCTATGGACCTGCTCGAAAAATAGTGGATAAAATACGGCGAGCTTTCAGTTTTATGGTTGGGTCTCCCTTCCGAGGCACATATTTACGGGGGATATTGGGTCATATTCCCCGGCGTCCTGATGATCGGCGCCCAGCTCAACGTCGAAGGCGCCCTGATACGCGGCACTGCTATCTGTGAAGGTGCCCAGGTTGCTGCCGCTCGAATTTTGGTCGCCTACTTAACAAAACCTCCGTTGGTGCCATCTCAGTTTCCTCGAGGTCAGGCAACCTTCACACGCCGTTGGCTACCTTGGCTGGCCGGCGACTCGTTCCCCTCGTGGCGACGCTCTTGACATCCAGTCAAAAGTTGGAGTGGCTGGCGCCCCCAGTGGGGGCCGGGGAAGGGGCAGTGGGCCTCCACGTTGCTCTCTTCCCGAGCCTATGGTGACTTGGCTCAACTCTCCTCAATAGAATCTGGATTCTGCACGCTGTATTAACATGGGCGTAGACACCACTACGGACAATACGGACAGTGGATGTGACAATCAGTAGTGCCATTCATATAGAGGGTGTCATATATGAGCGGAGAGGCAACAGTACAGCTGAGCGGAGAGACAACATTAAAACAACAGTACAGCTGGCGTTGCATGGAGCTGCAGGCAACCGGACAGCGGAGGCATGCGAAAAATAAACAATTCGTCACTTCAACGCATAAACAATAGTATAAAAAGCAACATAAACACATATTCTCATGGTCGAACCCATGCACTAGCGGCTCACGGCGGGCACAGGCACGCAGTGCGGTAGCGGTACCGGATCACACGTCATGGGCGTTGTCTCAGCATAGGTTGTTATGAGCGGAGAGGCAACAGTACAGCTGAGCGGAGAGACAACATTAAAACAACAGTACAGCTGGCGTTGCATGGAGCTGCAGGCAACCGGACAGCGGAAGCTTGCGAAAAATAAACAATTCGTCACTTCAACGTACAAACAATAGTAAAAGCAACATAAACACATATTCTCATGGTCGAACCCATGCACTAGCGGCTCACGGCGGGCACAGGCACGCAGTGCGGTAGCGGTACCGGATCACACGTCATGGGCGTTGTCTCAGCATAGGTTGTTCGCAATCTAGTTGAAGCCTAAGAAGACGGCCAGTGGGGTCTCACTGCTGCTGAGGCGACCTCGGAGACGATGCGTCGCCCCTCCTGTCGGCGACCTGCGGTGAGCAGGACTCCAGCTAGCTGACTGGCACGTTGCCGACACTGCCAGACGCTGTCAGCAGGCCTCACTGCTGCAAGTGATGTGCAGATGGACGCCAGGTGACTTCGTCTGCAGGCGATTCCGGAGACCGCGGCCTCACCAGGCAGTACCACCTGCATCGCCATGTCGGTGTTTCTAGAAATGGAAAAATAACAGCATCGGTGAAGGACAAGCAATACAATGTATTCTGTTTTCCTCTCTTGCAGGTATACGTAATCTACAATTATCATTGTTCCTATTTCATTCAACTGAACCTGAAAATTCCATATTGGCACATTGTTTGACTAAATTTGTGTAGTTGGGAACAGGGGCGACGCCACGGTGCGACGACTGGGGGGGACATTGACCATTTTGGAGGGGACGAGGACCATTTCAAGTCGATTCTTTCCATGCAACGCCATAGGCGTAATGTTAAAATTTTAAAAAGTGGAGGGGACGAGATCCCCTTCGTCCCCCCCCCTGTTGCGACGCCCTTGGTTGGGAAGCAGATTGTTTGAAATACATGTTTGGTTGAACAGTGCAGAAAATATTTCATTGATCACTATAGCTGCAACAAAAATACTGAGACAGAAAACATTTGCGCTTACCTGGCTCCTTAGTCAGTCCCGCACAATGGAAGTAGTACCATTTATCGCAGCCGTCGCATCCGACCATCGGTGCTGCACTGATGCTGCTGCACTCCCCACATTCCCAGTACCTTAGGAGCGTCTTGGCTGTGAAAAGATTACATGAGTCATGGCGCATACATGAATAGTAAGATGTTTTATATGTTTAACATCGCATAGCAAAGACACAACAGCTGGGAGTCAAGTGTAAGCCAAAGTGTAAGCCCTGCCATGTTTTGCAGACTGGATTTTAAACAAGAAAAGCTTTGCTAAAAATGACGCTTGACGAAGCCTCATCCTACTGGGCTGTCTGACATGTCTCCCTGTAAAAAGCATGTGGTCCTTATATTGTATATATGATGAATATGTTAATAATGCAGAGAAAACACAGTATAAATTATACCCAACGTTTCATCTTAATCGACTTTGTCAAGGGTGTTTGAACAGCTTGAGATAAGTGAAGTGTAAGGGTACCTAGGTACATCTGAAAATAAACTGAATCTGCGTTCAATAAACATTGATTTTGATAATACATTTCACAAATCAACTGCTAATAACAATCATACTAAAATAGCACGACAGATAACTAACAATCGCATGAAGAACTTCCCCGCCTTGACATTGTCGTCCGAACGAATGTTGTCTTAAGTTACACATTTGTCTTTTCTGCGCAGCATTTGTGTTTGCCATTTACCGCACCAATGTTCGCCAGCGGTGGTGACTTTTCCTTACCTGCTCACGAAACGTCACACAGGACATGACGTCACCCGAAGACGTCATCAAAAAGTCCAGCTCTTAGGCGTGTCCAACAAACGCCGAGGAGCACTAGCAGCGACCGGTATGCAGCGACCGCCGGCGGCTCCCATGCTGCATATTTACGTCTGGACAACGAGTTGCGTTGGAGAGGCCGGAAATAGTGGCGATTTCAGGACCGCAAAAATGGACCGTCATTGGAATGATTCTTTTTTAAACCGTGCACTGTTTTCGGCCGGAATTTAATAGTTACTACAAAATATTTTTTAATTACGTTTCCACCAAGAATGAATGCCATCAGGACTAAATTTTTACTACTAATGCATTTTATCAAGAAGCATATAGTGCTGTTATATTGCAGTTTTAGCGCGTTTGTTACAAAATATTAAGCGAATAAGCGTCAGTGTAATTATTCATCAGTTCAGTTCATCAGTGCCAGAAGTTAACTTGAGGGGGGGGGGGGGCTATGCTAATTGCTCTTGTCCATCCACTAAAATTTATTAAATATTTTGCTTTGTGTATTCCAAAAGGTGACGGAACTATTTCATTTGTGCCTTCATGTCAGAATTGAAGGTGGATCATTAAATTTTCAACGCAGTTTACAAACAAGCATTTCAATTTGGTCTTTCTCGTATATACATAAGCAGTGGCTAAGAAAAGGTTGATCAATCCTGAAGTTCAGTCATCGTACCTCAACTTGGCAGCAAGATCCCCAAGGACAGAGGATGTATTGTACCTATACTGATACATGTCCTGTAAATCAAAACAAACAAGCATTTGGTCTTTCTTGTGTATAAGCAGTGGCTAAGAAAAGGTTGATCAATCCTGAAGTCCAGTCATTGTACCTCAACTTGGCAGCAAGATCCCCCAAGGACAGAGGATATATTGTATACCTGTCCTGTTAATCAAAACATTTTTGTGCCTGCAAATGAATATAACTGTGACCCTGTGCTTGTTTTTATACTTACTATGGTCAAACAGGGAACAGCACATGCACATAACATACTCACCTAGCATCTAACTCATAGCTGTACCCTGCAGGATCTGTACTTGTCTCGAGCATTAACAAAGCGCCAAAGTAGCTTAGTAATCATTTCCCACATTTTCTGAGCAGTAACATGACATACAGCAGTGCAGAGCAGCTTCAGAGAAGAAACACTTTAAATGCACAGACTAACACCAGCCACCCAATGAGCCAGTTCCTCAGTTGACTGTTTCCCTGGATGCAGCTTGGCAATGTGAGCTAACTTTTGGCAAGTTGAAGGTTAGCAGGTAAGATTGAGTTAGGGTGAGTACCTACCTATAACTGGGTGCTACTGCTATGCAGGTCTTGGGTAGGCTGCAAATATGTGTGATGATTGAGGTTAGGTCAGCTGTCAGGTTAGTCAGGTATGCTCATTGCTCAGGTCACATTTTTATGGACAC